CATTTTTTGAAAACCTAGTGCGATTCCGATTCTTTGCAATGCGTATGATACTCATGCTCTTCCATTAAATTATCCAATTCAGATAGATTAGAAAGCTTAATTTTACATAGCCAACCTTTTTTGTTATTGAAATAAAAAATATCAACATATAAATCAAATAGTGACCAAATAGATGAAACCTTACAAATAATTAAATACCATCAGCTTCAGGACTTTCGTTTATTAATCCAGGAGACTTTTCTAATTTTTTATTAACTTCAACAATTTCTCCACTTACGGGAGCGTAAATATCGCTGGCCGCTTTAACACTTTCTACAGCGCCACAATTTCCTAAGAAAATAGAAAAGAGAGAATGTGAAAAATTCATTTTTTAATCTGATTATATTAAAAATTTAAATATTTACCAGACTGTTCAACAACGGTACCAATTTCAGGTACTTCAACATAAACGACATCACCAAGCGAATTTTGCGCATAATGCGTGATACCAACAGTTCCTAAGTCCTTTTCAACATGAATCCATTCATGTTCTTTTGTGTACTTTTTGGCTACATAATTAAGCAAAATTCCACGTTCGTTCATCTTTTGATTAATTTGAAAATAAAAGACATTGAAAGAGTTATACATACAACTATATTCTCTAAATGAAGTTCCAAACCGAGAAGCGAAAACGCTTTTAAATTCGTTTTTAAGGATTGCACTTCTAAATGAGGGAATACACGAAGGAACTAGCTTGGGGGAAATGAAGCTAAACATTTTTGGTGTGAACATAATGGTTAGAAGTCAAAAAAATATTCGAATGTATCTTGCATAATCTAAGTTTTACATAAGTGTTAATCGGCCAATAGAAAGCAGCCATTAATTTAAACTTTATCACAAAATTTTGTGAATTTTGGTTAGCTTGGATCCTTTGTAAACGGACCATTTAATTGCAGATAGCCACGTGTGTTGTAAATCTTACGTACACCCTGGCCAGGGACGATTTTCTGCGGCGATAAATTGTCGATTCCGTCCGTGATAAATTCAAATTCTGCAATTTCTGTGCTCTAAAGTTTATAAATTCTGATAAAAAAAATCCCAACATTTTGCAACCAAATTATTGCGTTTGTCTTTTATGTTCATGTATTTTCTATGTCGGAACTTTTTCGGGAATTATTATAAACCCTGCTTTCCATGATGTTTCCCTACTTTCTGCGATCATTCCGTGCTATTTTTAACGTATCCCACGTTTTTTTAACCAAATTCCGTGATTCTGCAGCACTCCATAAAATGCAGAAAAACATCGTCCCTGGCCCTGGCTATCTATGTTGAATGTTACGATTTAATTCTCAATTATTCGCAAATTTGGTAAATACAGGTTACCCCCGATAATATCAACCTCGTTGATATCAATCTAAGCCACAAACCAAATTTTTATAAATTTTTATATATCAAAATTCCCTCATATATATCAACTTTAATATGATTTCTCATTAATATCACTATCAACATGATTTAAAACCAAGTCAAATAGGTTGATATTAACGAGAGTAACCTGTATTTTAATTAATTTTTATAAACCTACCAATCCGATCTCTATTATATATTAGAGTATAAAAAGATATTTTTGAAATTAATTATAGATTGTAACAAAGTAAAAGGATAAAAAATAGAGGTTAAAAAAAGCAAATATCCAAATTAATTTTGTAATATTAATTATTTTTGTAAACATGATTTTAAATAATTAACTCGTAATCAAGTTAAATACATATAGCGATAGTAGATAGTATAAAATGTTTAACTAAGCTTATATTTAAATATTAATTAGAATTTTAGATATTTAGCAAAGATATCATACTGAAATTTTGCAAAAAATAATTTAATTTGTTAAATATCTTAAAATTTAGTAATTTAATTTGAATAAATTTTTTATTAAAAACATAATTATCTAGAAGTAGTGATTGGTGTTCAATATTGGGTGGTATGATCTGTAAGCTAGTAGAAGCTAATGAGATGCTGATACTATTATGTTGAGAAAAGGCTAAAAGCCAAAGTTGAGCTGTATTAGTAAGTGCTTGAGCAATATTGTTTAATTCAAGAGTGGTTATAATAAAGGATAAAAGTAGTATAAGAGTATTTGTTAAAAATTTGGTATAGAGAAAGTATCTGATTTAAGAAATATATGAGAGTAGTACTTTAAGGCAGTGTTGTTACAGAACAGTTGTGAACAGTAAGTTTGGATATTTTGAACAATTAAATAAATTAAAATTACTTAAAATTTTATTAAGATAACCTATATTAATTTCTAAGTAAAATATGTTTAGTATCTAAAAAAGTATATAATTATATATTTTTTAAACAAATTTATTAATTATTAAAGTTTGAATATGCTTTGAATACTTTTGAACACTTGGATACTTGGATATTAGACAGTATCAAAAAAAGCTTTTAGATAGTCAAAACATTTTAAAGCTTTTTTGGATAGTATAAAGAAGTTAGATAGTAGTTTAGATTCAAAAGATAAATATATATATATTTTTGAGTAGTTTTTTTTGATAAAAATCATAAAAGTATAGATATATAAGCTTTTTAAATTGTATTCAAAAAGATTAAAATGTCTAAAAAATAAGAGAATAGTTTATGATTTAGATAATATTAACAAATAGTAGTATCCAAAAAACCTGTTATAGTATGCATATAATAGATATAGAGGAGTTCTTGAATCTAAGTTAGTGAAATATTCAAAATTATATAGGTCTAACTAAAAATCCTGTAGAAAATAGTGATATAAATTATAGATATATTCATTATTAGTTATATTAAGGATTTCTGATTTGGATAATTTAATGGAAGAGCATGAGTATCATACGCATTGCAAAGAATCGGAATCGCACTAGGTTTTCAAAAAATG